TAAAAGCAGAAAAAAGGAGGAAAAGAAGAAAGCCCACTCCCACGGTGATACCGGTATTACCGGTGTTGTCACATGTCGATTAACCGGTGGGGAAATTTCCTCATAATCACAACCCTACTCTGTAGGTCTATTGGACACATTCATAAATATTCCTAGCAAAACAAATAAATGCTGGAGACATACTCATTACATTAACGCACTTAATCGCACTTCAGCAGTGTTTACTTGAGAGCGCACAAGTGCACGAGCAGAGGAAATCGGAGCGCAAGCAAAGAGATCCGCATGCTCGTAGGCTATTACATTAACGCAATCTCAACTTCTAATACTGCGCTAATGAGGAAACACTGCAATGTAAGACATATGCATTTTGGATTCACACACACACACACACACACACACACACATATATATGTGGCTAGTTTTTTATATTCACAATATAGTCCAAACACTCAAGACATAAAACTCTTTGTAAAATAAGAAAAAGAAAAACAAGCATGATGTATTTGCTTGATTGTTTCTGCTGCAAACCTAGAAATATGATACTGAATTCAGCATAGCTATTTTTTTTTCACAATTTGTCACTTCTAATTATTTTACAGAACAATCTTTTTTAATAATAATTATTTCATTTAAGTGTTGATCTGGAAAAATGTATCAAATGTTTTTTATTTAGAATTAGTCTTAATACAAAAATCAATAAAAAACAAAAGAAACAAATAATAACAATGAAATCAACAAATTAATTAAACTTCTGCATAATAATTTGGGGCCTAATGTAGCATAATGTTTGTAACACATTTGCGCATTCATTTGTGTGATTGTATAGCTAACGTTAATTTAAATGGTACGGAATTTTGTTTTAATATAAATCTTAATAAAATCTCATTAGTCCATTTGGTCTTTTTATAAAATTATACAATTATTTAAAAAAATTACAATATCTGAAATATATAAAGCTTATTACAGTATATTGTAGGTGATTTTTGACTTGAATTGATAGACTTCATTTGGGTTGTAATGACATCAACGCTACTTAAAATGGCACATTCACACTGAATCAAAACAATATTGGGTCTTTTCGATTCTAGGGACTGGGTCGGTTAGACCCGGCATATGTTACAGTAGGTCTGCTATAATGCAGCATAGTCTCTCCTTACACAAACTTCTAAGCATTCAGAGACCCGCTTTTTGGGACTCACAAAGGTGAGCTGATGTCTGAAGTTTTACATAGAAGACAAAACTTGCATACATTCAAATTAAGTACATGTTAATGTATTCATATACATATAGCTATATATAATTTCATAATAATATTGAAATAAAACTATATATATATATATATATATATATATATATATATATATATATATATATATATATTAGTTTTTTTTTTTAATTCCTTTTAAAAAAAAATTGATCCTAAATGAAACAATTTATTAAGATTATCATTTACGTATTATGTTCTTTCTGTCTTTATTCTTTTAATGTTTTTGTTTTTCATTTGGGGAACAAATTTGTCTTTCTATGTCTGAGAAATTGCCAGCTGGTGTCCCTCCTTAGCACTTAAGGCTATGAATTTGAAATCTAAACAAAAATAAATAAATATATATATCAATATGCATGAGAACATATTTTTATTCCACTTTTTTTATTCATCAAAACATCATAAAACCCATCTTCTGGGATTTCTTCTTAACAACAAATAAAAGAAAACCTTATTTATGCCCAAAACCAAAAAGCTATTTATAAAAAATGAAATGTGCTATTGTATATGGAATTTATAACAAACCTTTAGGCTGCAAGAGCTTAGTTTTCAGAAGCTATATATTTATATAGCACATTATCAATATGCATACAATGAATCATCCATTGTACAACCAATACATATTAGTTGTTTATCCTGTCCCAAACTAAACTGCATGTAAATATATATATATTTTTTTTTAATCTCTAGGGTGGAGATTTATCAGATTTACTTGTTTTGGACGAACCAGAGGAGAACACTTTTAGCACATCTTCTGAAGACACAGATGGAACAGATAGTGAAAGTGATGATCCAACGCCAACTGATGATCCACTTAAAAAAATAGGCACGGACAAAGGCATGGACAATATTCTCAAATCCACAGGCTCCATCACAAAGGCTGAGGCTCTACTGCTAATAATGACTCATGCTGCTGTGCATAACATTACTGGCTGTCAACTAGATGACTTGTTGACTCTGATTAATTTCCTGTTTGGTAATGATGTTGTTCCAGGTTCAAAACATTTGTTTAACAAGGTTTTCAAGAACAACTCAGAGATTGTAGACTTTCACCTTTATTGTCAGGCCTGCAAATGCCACTTAGGCACACAAAAACAAGTCACTGACCAGAACATAAATCAATGTCCATCCTGCAGCGAAACAGTTGACATCACTACTTTAAATAATGGTAGCTTTTTTATCAATGTGCCAGTTGCACCACAAATCCAGAATCTTCTGGAAAATCCTGAAATACAGAAGCACCTCGGCTATCGCTTTGACAGACCACACAGTGTTGAGAATGTTATCTCAGACATATTTGATGGAGCATTTTATGAAAAGCTGTCTGAACCAGGAGGGATTCTGTCAAATTCTAACAACTTTTCATACAATTTTAATTCAGATGGGTCTCCTGTTTTCAAATCTTCAAAATTTTCTATTTGGCCAATACACCTACACTTGAATGAACTACCTCCCAAAATTAGATTCAAGCATGTGATTCTTGCCGGTCTTTGGTTTGGAACCCATGAGCCATCTATGCAAGTTTACCTGAAACCATTTACTGAACAAGCAAAGTCACTCAGCTCTAAAGGTGTTTCATGGAGAAAAAATGGTGTTCAGATAAATAGCAAAATTGTTGGCATCTGCTGCTGTGTAGATTCTAAAGCAAGACCGGCAATGCAGAACATGACCCAATTTAATGGCTATTATGGGTGTGGCTTCTGCCTTCATCCAGGTGTTTTAGTTGAGCGACACGTAAAGTATACTGTGTCAGCTTCAGGATACGATGACAGAGACTCAAAATCTATAATTAGAGATATGGAGATTGCCTTTGCTGAAGGTAGGCCTGTCAGGTGTTAAAGGTCCATCCCAACTGATAAACATGCCGTTCTTTGATGTAGTGTGGGGCTTCGTACCTGATTATATGCATGCTGTCCTTCTTGGTGTTACCAGACAGATTACTGAACTTTTTCTTCAGAGTTGTGATCAGCCCTATTATATTGGTAGACCAGACACATTACGTGTAATAGAAAATCGCATCAGAAGCATCCAACCTCCACATCTCATTACCCGCTTGCCTAGGCCAATTGAGGAGTTCAGGTACTGGAAGGCATCAGAATGGAGAGCTTGGTTGCTTTTCTATTGTTTGCCATGTCTTGAAGGTGTGCTTGATACTCGGTATTTGAAACATCTCAGTTTACTTGTATCGGCAGTATTCCTTCTTTTGCAGGAGTCTGTCACCTATGAGGAAGTCAACAAAGCAGACATCATGCTCCTTGAGTTTGTTGTCAAATTTCAGTTACTCTATGGAGAGACAGGCATGACTTTCAATGTACATCTTCTCACTCACCTTGCGAAGTCAGTGAAACTGTGGGGTCCATTGTGGGCACACTCGGCTTTTGTTTTTGAAAATGCGAACGGACGTCTCTTGAAGTTGATCCACGGAACTAAAAGTGTTGCTGTTCAGATTGTCAACAAGTTTCTGTTGCATAAAGCCATGTCATGCTTTGCAACAAAACATGTGATCAGTGACCATGTGTTAAACTTCTGCAGAGAATTCAGTGAATATCCAAGAGTGCAGAAATGTCTGCGTTGGCAGGGCACCACAGTTTTAGACAGTGGCACAACTAAGCAGTTAAAGGATGAGGAAATGAGTGCCTTCATCTCAGCAGAGAGACAAGTACCAGAAATTGTACTAGTACACAATAGGATGGTCCATAATGGTCTGGTTTTTACCAGCAAGGCCTACTGTCGGTCTAAGAGAAGAAGGGAAAGTGCCATTCAGTTAAATAATGGATGCCATGGAGAAATACAGGACATTGTGTCATTTACAGCAGAAGGGGAGACAGAAATTGGTCTGTTCTTCAAGAGGTTTGATACACAGCCGATCTTTGCACTTCCTCAAAACTTTGGTTTTGTGCCACATGTAAAACTTGTTAGAGATTATCGGTCCCCTCTGCAATTTGTCCCATTAAACAGCATAAAACAGAAGAGTTTTACTATCTGCTCTTCAGATAATATCTTTATCTGTGACTTTCCAAACTCATATGAGAGGGATTAAACGGTGTAGAAAGTGTAGGTTGAGTTTTGGGTGGGATTAAGTGAGGGGAGAGAAACAGGCTGACAGCGGTGACAGAAACATAGCAGCACTACATGGCAAGAGCTGTACTGTGACACACCTACATCTATGATCACTGTAAACACCCACCCTAAACAGCCAGATACACATCACCCACTCTTCCTCATCGACACCCCTCACTCAAACCTCCAACAGCCATACACCTAGATCCCACAAACCCACTCATGCTACCACACTTTACTCATCCAACTCACCTTTCTACACCCGTATCCACTACACAACCCTTCAACTACGTTCCCCCAACCCACTTCTCCCACATCTTCATACCCACATGTACCTTGCACCTTCTTCCACACCCACCAACAATATGAAACCCACCCATAACCCATACACTAACATCCACCAAAAAACATTTACTAACACCCTGTTCATCCACTGACATATACACAGTGATTTGAGTATCAGTGAGTATACAGGGTGTTAGGGGAGGTTTGAGTGTTAGTGAGTATACAGGGTGTTAGGGGAGGTTTGAGTGTTAGTGAGTATACAGGTTGTTAGGGGAGGTTTGAGTGTTAGTGAGTATACAGGGTGTTAGTGGAGGTTTGAGTGTTAGTGAGTATACAGGGTGTTAGGGGAGGTTTGAGTGTTAGTGAGTATACAGGGTGTTAGTGGAGGTTTGAGTGTTAGTGAGTATACAGGGTGTTAGGGGAGGTTTGAGTGTTAGTGAGTATACAGGGTGTTAGTGGAGGTTTGAGTGTTAGTGAGTATACAGGGTGTTAGGGGAGGTTTGAGTGTTAGTGAGTATACAGGGTGTTAGGGGAGGTTTGAGTGTTAGTGAGTATACAGGGTGTTAGGGGAGGTTTGAGTGTTAGTGAGTATACAGGGTGTTAGTGGAGGTTTGAGTGTTAGTGAGTATACAGGGTGTTAGTGGAGGTTTGAGTGTTAGTGAGTATACAGGGTGTTAGGGGAGGTTTGAGTGTTAGTGAGTATACAGGGTGTTAGGGGAGGTTTGAGTGTTAGTGAGTATACAGGGTGTTAGGGGAGGTTTGAGTGTTAGTGAGTATACAGGGTGTTAGGGGAGGTTTGAGTGTTAGTGAGTATACAGGGTGTTAGGGGAGGTTTGAGTGTTAGTGAGTATACAGGGTGTTAGGGGAGGTTTGAGTGTTAGTGAGTATACAGGGTGTTAGTGGAGGTTTGAGTGTTAGTGAGTATACAGGGTGTTAGTGGAGGTTTGAGTGTTAGTGAGTATACAGGGTGTTAGTGGAGGTTTGAGTGTTAGTGAGTATACAGGGTGTTAGTGGAGGTTTGAGTGTTAGTGAGTATACAGGGTGTTAGTGGAGGTTTGAGTGTTAGTGAGTATACAGGGTGTTAGTGGAGGTTTGAGTGTTAGTGAGTATACAGGGTGTTAGGGGAGGTTTGAGTGTTAGTGAGTATACAGGGTGTTAGGGGAGGTTTGAGTGTTAGTGAGTATACAGGGTGTTAGGGGAGGTTTGAGTGTTAGTGAGTATACAGGGTGTTAGGGGAGGTTTGAGTGTTAGTGAGTATACAGGGTGTTAGTGGAGGTTTGAGTGTTAGTGAGTATACAGGGTGTTAGTGGAGGTTTGAGTGTTAGTGAGTATACAGGGTGTTAGTGGAGGTTTGAGTGTTAGTGAGTATACAGAGTGTTAGTGGAGGTTTGAGTGTTAGTGAGTATACAGGGTGTTAGGGGAGGTTTGAGTGTTAGTGAGTATACAGGGTGTTAGTGGAGGTTTGAGTGTTAGTGAGTATACAGGGTGTTAGTGGAGGTTTGAGTGTTAGTGAGTATACAGGGTGTTAGGGGAGGTTTGAGTGTTAGTGAGTATACAGGGTGTTAGTGGAGGTTTGAGTGTTAGTGAGTATACAGGGTGTTAGGGGAGGTTTGAGGGTTAGTGAGTATACAGGGTGTTAGGGGAGGTTTGAGTGTTAGTGAGTATACAGGGTGTTAGGGGAGGTTTGAGTGTTAATGAGTATACAGGGTGTTAGGGGAGGTTTGAGTGTTAGTGAGTATACAGGGTGTTAGGGGAGGTTTGAGTGTTAGTGAGTATACAGGGTGTTAGTGGAGGTTTGAGTGTTAGTGAGTATACAGGGTGTTAGTGGAGGTTTGAGTGTTAGTGGATGTATAGTGTGTTTGTAGGAGTGGTATTGAGTGTCTGACTTATTTGTGTAAGGGGTTATTTGTGTATATGTCAGTGGATGAACAGGGTGTTAGTAAATGTTTTTTGGTGGATGTTAGTGTATGGGTTATGGGTGGGTTTCATATTGTTGGTGGGTGTGGAAGAAGGTGCAAGGTACATGTGGGTATGAAGATGTGGGAGAAGTGGGTTGGGGGAACGTAGTTGAAGGGTTGTGTAGTGGATACGGGTGTAGAAAGGTGAGTTGGATGAGTAAAGTGTGGTAGCATGAGTGGGTTTGTGGGATCTAGGTGTATGGCCGTTGGAGGTTTGAGTGAGGGGTGTCGATGAGGAAGAGTGGGTGATGTGTATCTGGCTGTTTAGGGTGGGCATTTACAGTGATCATAGATGTAGGTGTGTCACAGTACAGCTCTTGCCATGTAGCGCTGCTATGTTTCTGTCACCGCTGTCAGCCTGTTTCTCTCTCCTCACTTAATCCCACCCAAAACTCAACCTACACTTTTAGATCTTCACTGCAATGTCTGCCATGTCCTTTGCTATTGAGAATTGTATTCCATAGTAAGTGTTGAAAGCCAGATGACAGTATGTTTAGTGTATATAACTTAAAATACTTTTTGTATAAATTCTCTGACTGAATTAAATTAATAATAATTTTAATGCTTTATAAATTTGATGCCAAATATATTGTAAATATTGTTTCTAGTTTTTGTTATCACAGAAACTATATAAATTTACTATAGATTTACTGTTGAAAGACAGTTTTTTTTTTGTTATTTGTGTACACATCTATTCAAAACCATGGTGAATGTGTTTCTTTTAATGTGATTTGAGTCAGTGCTACAGATTTAGGCTGTACTTTATGCCAGGGGCAGAATGGGAAAATTTACTTACACAGGCTGTCCTTTTGCAAATTAACCATCACTGGCTGAATGTTTGGCAAATGAAACAGTATAAAAATGACTTATACCATTAAATTTCAATAATTAAATGCTTTCTCTTTAATGCTACCCTCTCTTCCTTTGTCCATCTTTTTTTTTCCACCAGAATCATCAGACTAAGAAAATAACTAGTTTTAGTGGAAACTACCAGTAAGAATTGTATGTACCTTGGCTCAAAGCAACCATCTTTAAATTTATATTACATTTATTAATTTAGTAAACTTTTATGCAAAGTGATTTACAAATTGAAATTAGAAGTTTTAAACATATGTAGATGTATTTATCTACTTATTCATTCATCTTGAAATGGCTTAGACCTGGGGGCTTAACCTCGAATTAATGGGGTACATTGCAGTAACTGAAACTCATAAGAGGGCTATTTTAACATTCAAGCACAAGAAAGTGGCAACTAGTGGTAATGCAAATCACACAGCTTCTGAAATGTATGTGTTTGGCCAAGCATTACTCAGTCATTCTTTCACAGAGCAAATATATGCAATGAAATTATTTTTTTCTTGTTGTACATATTAAAGAGGTACTTTAAGGTACTACGAAAGTACTAAAAATAGACTTAATCATAATTATTATTCTGTTCTGACCAATTGTTGCTTAAACAGAGGTTTAGGCGTCCCCCAGATCAGAACAGCAGAAACAGTTTGGGTAACTTAAATTTACTGGCTTAACAACAAATTGTTTACATTATCTTTCTTTTTTGTACAACAAATAGGGGAAATGTAGGCTATGCATATATTCCCATTTACTTTAACTTGTCAGTTCAACCAACTGACAACAACATTTTACTGGTTTTTACTCAAATCGTAATACGAGGAAAATCGTATAAATGTATATTATAATAATGTATATTATAGCCAATTTGTATTAAAAAAATTGCAATATTATCATATGTTACACCACCATCGAAGTTTTTACGAATTTGCATAGCTTTTTATAATACTAATCTTAATGCACATTTGATGAAAATCTGTTAAATGAGACCAAGTATTGAAATTTGGCAAACTATATATCACCACCAGCATAGTGTGTTACCCATGAAGTGTTTGAACAAAAAAATACAGGTGGTATAATCAATTATAATCGAATGACTCTTGAATATTTACAAAAATAGAGCTTTAGTGAAATAGAGCACTTAGGAACATATAGTTTCAAGACTTCAACGTTCAAACCAGCAACAGAAATAATCTACACGTGCGTTACTCTCGATAAGATGCACTGAGAGAAACCAAAAGTAACTGTGTATAGCCGATTTAGTGCACCTTAAATGTCTAGTAGGTGGTGGGTCAAAACCACAAATAGCTTTAAACTTTAAATTTTATTAATTAAAAAAATATGCAGATGGATGGATGGATGGATGGATAGATGTCAGTTATGGGGCGGAGGGCGCGTGAATGGAAGTTTGAGACCCCTGGCTTAAAGCAACGTTTAACAACAAAATACACGTCATAAAACATTTTATGACAATCTTATTTTCCTTCTTTCTGTCTCAGTATCAGTTATGATTGAATAGTTTTTTTTATTGTTATTATAAAAAGTATTGCATTAGCTCCAGTCTCCCTGCTGCCTTCCTATAATATGAACATCTGTCTGCAAAAAAAGTTCATGCAATTTTACAATTAGTAATACCAACATAAAGTATTTTATGTGATAATACTAAGAGTTTAGCGCTAATAATTGCTATGCTACTAACAAATATTAGAGATAAAGAGAAAAAAGTTGTATTGCCAGATGAACAACTGAGCTGAAGAGGGGAAAATTTTGCTACATTCAGCTATTCTGCTTCATCTAGAAGTGCTTTCTTTTTAC